ACGATGTGCGCCAATGGGTAATTATAAGTATACTTACTTATAACTAAGGTAGTTACTTATATTGTAACTATATACCTTACAATAAAAGTAACTATATATAGTATAAATATAAAAGAATTATCAACTATCCCAAGAAAGATTTAACAATATAAATGAATTTGGGACAGAAAATCCAGCCTAAATAGACAAAATATATTATAAAAAACTACTTCCTTTTCTATTGAATTGAAATGACATGACAGATGTCAAGAGTTGTCAACTGACATTAATGTGTCGCTTGAAGTGAAGCATAGATATTTTATACTGTTCTGTGTCTACGGCATACAATAGACTGCCGTCGAATACGGGAAATAGAACTAAAATAAATGTACATTTAAAATGAAGAATAAAAATTATGACAGCAGAATATATAATATAATAATAATAATAGAAAATTGATCGAAGAGTTGAGCGCCAACTATTTTGATAATAAAAATAATAAAATAAAAGAGAAAATTAGTAAATGAATAAAACCGAAACAAATTGAAATATAATAATTATATAAAGAATGTTAACAAATGTATGACGTTTATATTGTTACAAAGTATTTATTATGAAAATCCGTAACCTAATTTTCGAAACCAAATTGACTGATCAGTCAAATCTTGACTGTCTTTTTCTTTTTATTTATTATGATTTTAGTTGTTATCAATTCTGATTTTTGCTGTTTGCTACCAGTACAGGTTTTTAATTAGCTTTACATCTTATTGCATAATCCCATATCGTTTAGTAGTTGTAAAAGTTTGCCATGGTTGACTATTTCAAAGGTATTCTCCAAATCAACAAAACATCTATTGATCGTGGCATTTCGTGGCCAAAAGTAATGTAAAAAGAGTTTCCCCATGCTCAATTCACTGCGGAAACAGAACTGATCTGCACTTAAATTTGATTCACACTTCTGGAATATTCAGTTATGAATTTTTTTTTTTAAAGTATTTTGAGAGCGTGATTCAAGTGAAGTCTACCCTCACGAGTTCACGATAGATTGAACAATGTGTCGTTTCTTAAAAATAAATTCTGTAATCGTACGATGTAAGTTGAACGTGCCATGTTTTTGATCTAGTTCTTTACTTATCGGTCTTCTTATCGACTTTTTTAGCCTTTTTTATATCTGTCTTTATTTCTCTGTGATTTTTTTTCTGTTCTCTGGGATTTAAGCCTTCCGATAGCCTCTTTTCTTCAGTTTGTGTAATTTATTATAGTCATCAGTCTATTAATATTTCTGCTTTTATTCTAGCTAGCTACTTTATTCATTATCGTTCACCACAAATAGTAAGTATTTATTGTACTGCATATATTATAGTTTAAATTAATCTTGGCCAAACAAGTACTCACAAATTGCGCATTGGAGCATAAAAGTCACGCAATAAAATTAAATTACCTAGTTATTATTTGTCATGCAGTTTACTATTCGTTTAAAATATCACTAAATACTTCAAACGAAATAATGAGCTCTCGGTATTTTAAGTTTCCTATCTATGGGGCACAAGCTTCGAGAACAAAATTAACACGTTTATTTAGCAAAGAATGAAATTTATCGAAACCAATAATAATGGTTAATATTGTATATTTTAACAATATAAAAATAATCTACAAAACTGATAACGAAACTTAGACACCCATTAATTTTTCTAAAAATTCATGCTTCCAATTTTTGTTTCTTCTGAGCTTCCCAGTTATTTTCACAAACCCTTAGATAGAAAAATGACCAAAATTGTTCTACTGGACCTATTTGAGAAACATGTGGGTATTTATTTCTCTTGTACACATTTGATATTGTACCTGGTTTCGTTTGAAACTCATAGTTCCTTAGAATTGAACCAGATTATAAATATAAATCATGTGACAATAATTCATTCAAAGGGGAATCCCTTTTTTAAACAGTGTATAAACATCCTGCTAATAAAATATGTTCAGCTACTTGCCGAAGCAATCTAAACAATAATGCCTACTTCTGCATCATAATTAAATAGATTGTTGTAATGGTCAAACACAGGATAACCACACGGTGATATGCCTGGATTGTAAGACGGCTGATCAACGACTTTCGTAGCTCATCCAGCTGTGAGTCTTATAAGAAGAGAATTGGCATACATGAAGATGACACTACTGCAGGAATTGTAAATTATTTGAATATCATTGAGCGTTAATGCCTTCCATTAATTAATTTACCACTACATTGCTTTCCCAAGGTTAAGACGTATTCTTTGCTAGTTTTTACAATATTTTTTTGTACTTTTTGTAACACAACGAATACTCTTTCACTGTGAGATAATCAGAAACGAAGAGAATAGAAATATAAGCACACATGCATATGAAGCTGGGCATGTAGTAATACAATCTGAAAATAATGGTCATGTAATGTAACAAAGTACAGATCAAGATAAACGAAAAGATATAGAGATGGAGCTTAGAAAAGACGAATAAATGATATCCGAGCTACTACAGGAAAAGAGTGGATGCGTAAAACAGATGGCAGAAATCAGTGAAGAAATTTGTACGAGATCTATGTCTATCTTCTAAATGTGCCTATCTTCTAGAGATGTTGGCGACCACATTGACCCATCTTATTCTATTCACAGCAGCTCGAAATAGATCGGTTGACGTTAGGCCAGTCCACTTAAGATTGGCCAGCCAGGATATATTTCCAGGGCCTCTCTTACCCTCAATCTTGCCTTGTAGAATCAGCTGTAGAAGTCGGTATTTACTATTACACAAAATTTCTTTGTCTTTCTTCCTCTGGAGAATAGTTATGTTACTTATGTGGTGTATATATGAGACCCTCAACATACGTCGGTAGCACCACATTTGCCTCTAATCGTTTTATGGCATCTTCTGTAAGGCTCCAGCTTTCTACTCCATAGAGGAGGACACTAAAGACATAACATCTAAGAATTCTTATGCGTATATTGATACTTAAAGATAAGTTGCAGATAATCTTCCTAAGGCTGTCGAAAGTGCTTCTGACTTTTTCAAAACTAGTTTTTATTTTGTAGCTGTGATCCCAAGTATCATTAATATTGCAGCCAAAATAGCATATTTTTCCACTCGTTCTAAGGGTATATCGCCTATTGTAATTTGGGCGTTTATGTTGGTGTTCTTACTAATGATCATTATTATATCTATGTCTATGAATGGATGAATTTGGATGAAATAGGAGTAGCTTTATCAGTTACAGAGAATTTGTGCTATAATAATTGTATTGTCTGCAGATCTGATATTTTTAATTGGAATTCTGTTCTCTTTTTTATCTATCGATATTTTTCTTTACGGGCGCTTCAATAAATATTTATTCTGAATATTTTTTTTCACTAAAGACACCGAAGTGTACTTACATTAAAATCTGGTCAGTAAGACCAATTATCAATTTGTTTCTAACTTAAATTACTAATAAAAACTTAAAATTAGGTGTCTACTCACTAGTATCTTTCCTATTATTTCTAATAACTAGCATTAAATTTAGCATGCATACTCGCACAACACTTTGCTCTGCTTTTCACTCACTCACTATACCAGTTCAAAAGGCTTTGTCCTTTTGAGCCTTCTCTCTAGGTTCGTATTGTCGAGGAGCTGGATAGCCTCGACGTTTACATGATGATAGAATCGTTGTTTGTAGCTCCCTGCAAATTTTTTGATTATCTGATTGACGTCTTCCATCTTGAGGTCCCGGTTATATCGTTGTTCCTAACGTACCAAGGCGTATCTACGATGTTCCTCAGCACTTTATTCTGGAATAACTGGATTACTTTGATGTTACTAGGCTTGTCACAGCCCCAGAGTTGGCAGCCATAGGTCCATACTGGCCTCAGTATTTATTTATAGATTAGGAGTTTATTATTTATGGATAGAGAGGAATGCCTTCCCATCAACCAATACATTTTCTTGTAGCGGATGCCTAGTTCTTCTCTTTTCTTCTTCACGTGAGGGATCAAGAGTGATCCCCAAGAACTTTGCTGATGTTGCAATAGGCACTTGGACATCATTTATTCTAATTGGAATATTATTAATTCTCTTATTGGTAAAATTTATATGGACTGATTTATTCTCATTCAGCTTAATTTTTCTGAATATGTGTTAAATATTTTCTGGTGACAGGATCCAACATAGTCGGATTATCTTTTGAATGCTTATTTATTCTGTTGATTCTGCTTCGATGTGTACTGTTGCTTTTATTGTAGTACATTCATATGTGTCTATAATCTATTTTCCATCTTTAATAAGTTGGATAATTTGTTTGTCTCACTCTATTAAATGCGTTATTGTACTCAATGAAGCACATTTATATAGATATCCTGATTTATATCTAGTTGTGTAAGTGATGTAATCTAATAGCGTTCCCTTATGTCTAAACCTTTTCTGAATTAAGGTTCTTGTATATGACTTCTTTTTCGTCCACTTTTCGTTTGTTTTTTTTTTGGCAAATTTTTGAATGGATTATTTTGTATTGTTATCCCATAATGTCTTATTTTTCTCTAAAAATTCTAAAGAGCTGAACAATAAATTCTATATACCTGTAGCTAAATAATCACAAAATGTCGTAGGTCTAATGAACTGTTAACTATAAAAGAAACAATGATGAACGGCATCTTGAGTAGAAAGTCGGTAATTAATTTGATTTTACAATGTTTGTATGAGAAGAACATAGCAAACATACCCAATGGTGTAAACTTTATGTAACCATTCGGTCTTAGACTGGGAACGAATTTTAAAAGAAGGTTTAAATAAAGTTTTTCTTTTTTTATTATTTAAGGAATTTTCAAATTGAACCACTACACATGAGGTTACAAAAAATATTGGTTTTTATATAGTTATTAAATTACTAACATTAAAAATTTCAGTTATGGCTGAACGTTGTATATAGTAAAAACGTTAATAATATAAATCTTAAAAATTTATAGATATAAATATATAATAGATATAAATAAGGTTGGGTAACTCATCATAACATTTTCAATTTTCAGTTTTGAACATCTGAATTGGCTATCAAAACAATGATATCAGGACATTGGCTGACAGGAAGTGGTAATTAGAAAATAAAGCTATCTACTTTTCACATCATTGTGTTGTTCGTTTTAACTAACTCATCAAAATTTGCACTTAAGTCGCTAACCATCATCTGTGTGTTGGAAATAATACAGTGCGCATCTAAAGTCTCCTCACGCATATTTTCTAATCCATGAATTAATAACATTTTGGGTAATTAGACTAAGCTGGCTGTTATTTATTTTTATGATGTTTTGGTGACAAAAACATTAAAAATGGCAGGCATAAAAAACTATGGTTTGATAGCACTCTTGTCTAGAGTACAGTCTAAGATCTTAACGATGATGAAGTCGGATAACAAGAAAATTTGAATAGGCTAAAGCGAGTGGTAGCCCCGCTTTTAGGCGTAGTTCAGAAGCATGTGCGCAGCGTCCCGTCCAGGGTGCCCGGCTGAAAACAGCATCTGTCCCTATGTTTAGGCTACTAAACTTAAAACAGTGAAGTTAACTATTTCCCAGCATATTTATATGTGGAGGAAAATAAAAATCACTGCTCCTAGTACCGGAAAGCCCTTTGATTAGCAAAAGGAATTAAGAATCCTGCTGCTCAAAATATCAAAATCCACACTAAATAGGCACATGGAATGTTAGAAGCGTTTATCCTCTGATTGATTTGAAAATTTTGTTCAACATAGACCCATAGCATAGAGATGGAATAGAAATTTTCATCAACATCGGAAATCGAGAAATATGTTCCAATAATTGACACAAAAATGCCCTAAGGTAGCATTCTGCGCGAACGAGACAGGTGAGAGAAAAAGGGCGTGTACCTGCTTCGAAACTGTTCTTTAAAAGTCTACTCTAAGAAGAAAATACCTTTCATGGATCCCCTTTTTTTTTTTGTTGGAAACTCAAAAACTTTTAATTACAAAACAAGTACTTTAGTTTCAGATGAAAACCACTCGATTGTTTACTAGCACTGGCATGTGTAAAAATCTACCTTGCTTTTTCGCCTTGTCAGTATAGGCAAGCGAGCTACTGGCATGCCAATTAGTAGCAGATGTGTTTTGTGCTTGCCAGTTACTGGCCTATGCCAGCAACTGGTATACCCACTACTTTTCCAATCTACTGGCGTGAAATTAGTAATAATAATTAAATAGAAACGAGAAATTCTGAATATAATAAAACTGAAAGCATTCATAGATTTTAAACAAGCATTTGATAGAGTATGTAGGGACAGACTGTGGACAGCGATGCAGGAACTTGGCTTTCCAAAAAAACTAGTCCGGTTGATACGGATGTGTATGGAACGGTTACGATGTAAGGTGAGAGTTGGACAACAATACTCGGAGACATTTGAAATAAACAATGGACTAAAACAGGGAGATGCACTTTTACCACAACTCTTCAACTTAGCTCTGGAGCACATAATCAGAAGTGCAAGAATCGAAAAACCGAATACAGTATTTCATCGAGAAGGACCAAACTTACTACTGGCATTTGCAGACGATATAGATCTAATAGGAAACACGCGATTAAGGATGAAGGAGACTTTCGTAAGGTTTGAGAAGGAATCAGAGAAGATGGGGCCCCAAATCAACGAAAACAAGACGAAATATATGTATATGAGCCGCAATAACCAAAGCAGAGATAGAATCGGTCAGAACATTACCATCGATGACTTTAACTTTGAGCGCGTTAGAGAATTCAAGTATCTTGGAACAACAATAACTGAAGACAATATCGGAACACAAGAAATAAACAACAGGATTCAGGCCGGCAACAGATGTATTTTTGCCCTCCAAAACCTTATAAAATCAAAACAACTAACACGACGTACGAAGATACAGGTCTATAAAACAATCATACGACCCGTTGTGATGTATGGAAGCGAAACGTGGACGATAACAAAGGCAAATGAAGAGAGACTACGTGTTTGGGAAAGAAAAATCCTAAGGAAGATCTTTGGTCCGGTGCTTGATGAAGCATCAGGACAATATAGGATAAGAACTAATAAAGAGCTTGAAGAACTTTACCCAGATGCCAACATCATAAAAGAAATAAAGTCCAGAAGACTCCAATGGGCAGGACACCTCAAAAGACATTCTGACGAACGAACAGTAAGACTGGTGTGGGAGGAAGTCCCAACTGGAAGGAGACCACGCGGACGCCCTCGTCTCCGGTGGCGAGATAATATAGTAGGAGACCTAAGCACTATGGGCGTGGAGAATTGGATGGAGGTTGCTCAAGACAGAAAACAGTGGAGGCATGTTGTCGAGTCGGCTAAAACCCACGAAGGGTTGTAACGCCACGGAGTAAGTAAGTAAGTAAGTAAGGAAGTATTCTTAGAATAACAGAAATGAATATATAAAACCATATTAATAAAACAGGACAAAATCATGTAAGAAACAAAGACATAAGGGCACAATGTGAAGTGCAATATGTAATAAGATGAAAACCCCAAAGGCAGCTTCGATGATATAATCACGTAAAATAATGAAAAAGGGCAGACTACGAAGAATTGCGTAAATAAAAAAGTCAGTTGGATAGGGTAGTGGGCAATCCACCACCCAAGAAATATGACAGCGATGAATCAGGCAAGTAATATAATCAGGCAAAGTAATTGTGGCTACTCCTTTAATTTTTAATCGGGGTATGTCGTTAATAGTATTCGAAATGAGCTTTTAAGTGAAGTATTACTTGTCATATGATTTCGTTAAACATTATCATACAAACTGGCACTTGTCGATCATTTTTCTTGATAACGTCACTAAAACGTCATAAAAACCATGCAAAAATTTATTAGTTTGTATTTAGTTTAAGTTCCATCGTTCAGAACATCTGTTTTGGAATGGCTTTAGACGCGCACTGTATACTTCTTTCTGTACAAAGCTCAAAATTACAAATCAATTAATTATAACAAAAGCAGTTCAACACGTCTTTTTGTTTATCTATGTTGTGAATAAAAGTGGAGCAGAAAATTTCTAGGAACGTGTGATAAAAACATTTATGTGGTAAAATAATTGACTCATTATGCAATTTTGTATCACTTTGAGACAAGCATTATACTCAGACCACGTATGTAAAAACAAACTGCGTATTATATATGCAATAGATAAATTATCATAATTATATTTTTCTAATTCAGATTTCATTTAAATTACGGGGATATAAAGGAAATATCGGAAAGTTTCTTTAAAACATAAGCCTCTTCGGGGGTGTATTTTTATGGTTTATAAGTTTCCGGTTAGAGGTTAACTATATAAAATGTGAAGGAGCAAAAGAAAAAATCATAGCCTATAAGCTTAGAAGCCAATGTATTATTCGCAGTAACTGTATGGTACTAAACACTTTTCTTATAGCGTATTTTGTATGAAAGTAGCATCACAGATTTTATAACTGGACTTTTTATAGATAAGGTAAGAAATATTAATAATAACTGTATTGTATGTACATTTCGCCGTTTAAAATTATTAAAAAACATATATGTATCCGTTATTTGATTGTATTTCTCGATAGGTAAATGCCTCTATTCAAAAGAAAATTGTGTTTACAAACTGCTGACTTTATCTCTTGAACGCATAAAATACCATCAAGTACACTCGATCTACCGATCATTTTAGTAGTTCATGTGTGAAAATTTCATCATAACATGATGCATTCAATACCAAACCATCAAAATCCTACAACTATTAGCGAAACATCATGTACTCCGGTAGGACAGGGAGTAGTGAGAGATTTATTTACAAACTTTTAAAATAGAAAATGTAAAGAATTATATATAAAGGCTGTAAAGTGTACAGGAAAAAAAGCAATTTTTTATGATTTTATACTGGGTGCCGAGAAACTCTCCTGAAAAACGAAAACCGGAGATTCCTCAGATAATTTTGAGACGATTTAACCCAATTCACCTAGTCCGAAAATGCTTCCTAAGGGAGCTAGAGCTCTTTGAAGATGGCGCCTTGTAATTAGTTTTTTTTAATATCGATATTTCGATATAAATTTTTATAAATCGATAATCGATTTTTCTAGTAAACGGTGTATCCTACAGACTTAAGTAAGAGTACCATTTAGTACTAGAATATCTGAAAATCTAATAATCGAGTATCACGAATACCTAAAAGATACAGACAAAAAAGTTTTGCATTAAAATACCAGTTGACCTACCCAAAACGGTCATCACAACAGAAATTTTTCGGACTTACTAGTCAATCTATTTACCTGGTATAGGTATAACTACTTTAGTGAATAGAAAGATAAAGATTAAATTGGGACTAAGGTTAAAAAGCAATGTGGTTACGTGAGACACGCCACGTTTCTACTCATACCTAATTTACTCACATATTTACTGGCTTGTCTCATATATACCTTAACCATAAGTATTTATCCACATTACTTTTTAATCTTAGTCAAAATTTAATATTTACATTTGTATTAAAACAGAACTACTTACAAGGCGCCATGTTCAAAGAGCTCTAGCTCCCTTGGGAAGCATTTTCGGACTAGGTGAATTGGGTTAAATCGTCTTAAAATTATCTGAGAAATATCCGATTTTCATTTGTCAGGAGAATTTCTGGATACCCTGTATATAGAGACATCATGCAAAGGAAAGTTTATTCGTTCCAAATACAATACAAATCGAACTTAAAGAAGAGATTTGGACGAAAAAAAAAACTAATACCAAATGGCGCAAATAAATGGATAACCGTTTTACGTTTACCACTTCATCACTGGCAATAAAACCTCATTGAGTTATCATGTCACTTTTGATCGAATTTAAAATTTAATTTAAAAACTTGACGGAGGAGAATTGTATAAATTCTGTAAATAAAAAAACAAGAAGAGATATTGTGGACTGTTGATGGTCATATTGAAAAATTTGTCATTATGGAAAAATGGTCATATATTATATATATATATATATATATATATATATATATAATATATATATATATATATACAGGGTGTGGCAAATAAACGGCCAATTAGAAATATCTTGAGAACTAAAGGTAACTGAATCATGAAAATTGGATTGAAAGG